CCAACAGCTTGTTGCGTTTTATTTTACAGCAAATCAAAGTGAACATAAAAACTAAACAACTCTTTACAAGACTAGAAAACTAATTGTACAACGCTGGGTTTGCTTAATCATGTTCTGAACAACCAACCCTGACTTGAGAAGTAGATAAAAAGTTCTAAAAAAAAAACTGCCAGCATGATTTAGCTGACATTTTTTTCCACGATCCCATAAGCAAATAACTGAAATTTTTTTTAACGGTTAAAATAAACGCTTCTGTAACTGAATAAATTGCTCTAGCTAAGGTAACTGATATGGTTCTTTAGTGCATCTACTTTGTTCAGACATCTTGATCAATTTGTGAAAAATTTCGTTTAAGAGCCAAAGAGCAGTTTTTCTTTTCATCTTGAAAAAAATATCGAAGGCTATGAGTTAATAACAGGAGGAAACTTCTTCTCAAATCATATGCACAGTGTTTGTGTTTCCTAAACAGAAACCTTTCTGATCGTGTTATTTATATCTGTTGAAAGACAGAAAAACTATCTTAACTTGCCGGCATAAGTTAGAAGGAACTAATCGAGCTCTCAGAAATTTCTCTAGCACCACTTTAAATCATAAGTATTCTTTATGGCTGAGTATAATTTTTCGATCATTTCGCCAAATTAAAGGAGAATTCCATAAAAACCTACCATGCCCGCACACAGCGAGTGTTATGATTACTAAAAAAACTGTATTTCACGTGGTCGGATTCAAATTCCCGTGGTGTTTATAAAATCACCCATGATTGAGATCATCATAAAAGATACGCTTAACCCTTTCACTCCCAAGATCTAATCAGTAATTCTCCTTACTATCTTCCATACAATTCTTATGATGTTAGTTCAGAGAATTTGGTATTGGATCAACTAATAATCCCATAATTGATATTCTTCTCTATTCTCGTCACCAAGCCGCTTGATATTGTATTGATATTGTAAGGAGAAATTCTGTCTTGGTCACTTGTGGGAGTGAAAGAGTTAAGTATTTGAATTCCGTGACCTGCTTAGGGTGCGCTGCTCTCTTTTACGCTGACAGTCGTTGACAGTAATTAATAATCATTAATCTTGCTGTTTGACAGCCAATCTTGAGGTAATTTCCGGGGCATTTTAACGCCTGCCTGCCGAACGAACATGCAATGCCTCGTTTTACACATCATTAATCATGTGGAGATTTCAGGAGAAGAGCCGCCCAACGAATTCGACGCTTATCTCTCAAATTCAGAAGGCCTTTTCAGACTTGATGATATGTATGTGTTTCGTTCAGAAAAATGATTAAATCTCAATAGTGAAAACTCAAAAAGCAAGTCAAATAGTTCACTGAGGTTACTTTTTCTGTTGCCCTTTGTTTATATATATATGCAATTGTCCTTACAATAAATGCCGAAATTCAATTATTGTAAAACAACTGAATGAAAAACCTTTGTTTCCGACTCTGAGTGTACTTCTCTAAAGCATTTCAAAGTCATGTGTTTGCCCTTCTGATTCAACAGCTATAGCACTCGTTTAGCGGATATACTTAAAAAACGCACTAAACTTCTGAGAGTTCTAAGTAGAATATAGCATTTTCTAGTTGACAACTAGATTAGTTTCTGAGATCCTCTAACGAGGTGGTTAATCTTTTTGTAATCCTCATTCGTTAGCAGGGGAAGTCGCTTGTTTGAAGTTGTTATCCTGAATCAACTTTCGGGTAGAAAAACTCCACTTAGACATGAAATATACTCGAACATAAACCTCGAAGCTAACTCAATATAAGTTTTCTAACAACTCTATCTCAGTTTTAGACGATTATGCCGGTGCTTCTTTCTCGCTATGAGAGAGGAAACAGTTCAAAGTTTTATTGGCTAATGTAGAAGTCGCAACAACTTTGAAACAGTGAAATAGAGTCAGATGAATGAATTCCTATCAATACCTTACAGATTCAAGTTAGAATTTCGCAGGCACGTTTTCAGCTGTGTTTACACATGAACGTGTGTCGATAGGTTTGGCACTTGGTATCAAATAGCTGAATCAATGAAAACAACTGTGTTTAAATGTTATCTCTGACTGTAGCTGAAATTCATCTTTGCATCTTTTTACATGGAGGATCACGAAAAGATTTTTCTCGTTCGAATCACTGAAGTGACCGAATATAATATTGGGCACGCTCAGAACTATGCACCTTTCACAGTCACATAACCATTCGCTGAAAAAGTGAATTTACTTACCAGATCGTACGTAACGAATGAACCACAGAACGAAAGCCACAATTAAAGCGGTCGAGGTATTCATCTTTTCTTTTTCCATCAGTCTAGTAAACGAACTAAAGCTGTTTATCGTACCAAAGAAGAATCAAAAAAGAGCAAGCAGTCTGGATCTTGTTGTTCGGCCGCTATGTAACAATACCCCACTGGTCGGACAAATAAGAAGATCATTAATCTTCGATAATTACCGTCCTGTCATAATGGTATGCATGCTATAGTTTCGATTTCCTGATATCTTCTTTTACCGGTCCGAAAAGTGCTTAAAATCATAAATCAAACTTTGACGAAAAAGACTCTAATATTTCAGTTTTGAATTCAATTAAACAGCTTAGAGAACATGATGTTCTAGAGATATCTCTGCCGACCTTTGCCATTAAAAGAGAGAGATTTGTTTATTTATTGTTAGAGCATATTTCCCCCTGAACATGTCCATGTGCATTGGAATGACAAAGTGAACTTCGGAAATCCTTTGTACCAAAATGATTTACTGTTTCATGTGCTCTATGTGTAGTTTTTGACCGTTCCCTGGGTTTCAAAAAACTTGGCCGATAAATTCTCCCATCGCCATGTTTATTCTCTATTTGCCTTTCCATCTCGCTAAATTTTCCTGTCTGTTTTGTTAAGATTACTGTGTCTTGTGGCACGTTCGTCAAATTGCGCATGAGAAATAATGATTGACCGTGGGTTCTAACCTTATCTATTCATTTTATTCAACATTCATTGTTTGTAGTTTTCCGACTATTTGTGAAGGAGTATAAAGAATTTAAGAATGCTACGGTTTTCTGCTGACAGTAAGAGAGATCTCCGGTCTGAGTGAGACTGGATCAATTATCTGTTGATAAATTTGCTTAGAGGGTCTCCATGGGGTTAACAATGAGCCGTAAAACGGCGAAAAAAAGTTAGCCATAAAAATTGACAATGTTAACCGTTAATCGTAAAATAAGTTAACCGAAGGAAAAGAGGATGAAATCTCTAACATGACACTCCCAGAGGTAGGTTAGGAAAACATTGTTGAGTAGCATCAAGGGAGAAAACTATTTTAAGAGCGCACCACACTTAGAGAAAGGCACCAAGGACTCTCGACCTGTCTTTTTCAGTTTTCTTTAATCTCTATTCTCTGATACAATCTTACTTACATCAAATTCGCTTCACTCTGAGTAACTCTGAACTCAATGACTCCTGAGTAAACTCTAAAGTAAATACCTATACATTCGCTATCGGTAGACATGAGTGGGCATGCTGGCCAACTGACCTTGGAAGATTAAACAGTTATTGTCAGAACACTAACCCAAACACTTTTACAAGAATCACACAAATGAACTACAACGTGCTTTATCATCCGATTAACCGAATCAGTCTTTGACCACATAGTCAAGATAAAAACTTTAGTGTGGGTCTTAGACAACGTCCGTAGATGAACTAAGCAGAATCACTGTCGCAATTAGGAAACTCATCGCGATAGCTCACACTCAATGCAAATAATTTCGGACTTTGAATTTAACTAAATATAAACAAATGGCTCAATCATACTTAACCAAATAAATACTTCATAACAATGCGGAGAACACGAAAAAGAAAATCATCATATCGGTTGCAAAGTTCGCCTGGTCATTCCGAGGTGGATAAACATGCTCAAGCGAAAATAATTTCAATGACAAAAAGACGGGATTCACTTTTGATGGTAGAGGTCAGCAGAGTTACCCCAACTACACGATTTTCTTTTAGCTGTCCTCACCCTCAACACCTTAATATCAGTATGTATATTCTCTATACCGTCTTCTTTACATTTCCTAAGGTGCTGATAAGGAGAATCTGTTTCACAATCAAGAGCTTTTTAAGTGGGTGATCATTTCCTTGATTCTCGTGACTTTAATGTGTAATTCAGGGGTTATATTGTTGGGAGAAATTAGATGTTAGTCACTCTTAGGGGTTAAAGGGTAATTAAAATTAAAAACTGATATAGCATTGATAAAAAAAAAAAGTGCCCCTTGCCACACATTGCCAGTCTCGCACTCTTATCGGCTTAATTACACGTTCCAACGACCTCTGGCAGTAGTGTCCCAACACAAATACACCCGACAGTCAGTACTGAAGTATTGACGTTGTGATGCTCTCTGTAATTAAAAGTGCTTCTTTGAGTGTGTTTGATAGAATATTATAACTCCTAAGTACTTGAAATCAAAAAGACACCTTAACCCTTTAATTCATAAAAGTGACTAGAATCAAATTTCTCTTAACAGTATCACCCCTGAATCAAACATTAAGGAAATGAGAATATAGGAAATGATCGCCGACTTTAAAAGCTCTTGAATGGCGATTTCTCCTTGTTGGTCCATAGAAATGTTTAGATGATAGCGTGTAAAATTTTTATATGAATTTTAAGGTGAAAAGGGTTAATCTGGATACAAAAATACTTGTAAGAAGATACAGTATGTCGTGTAAAAAAATTGAATCTGAGAAAGAGTCACTGATCCCACCTCGAACATTTTACCATTGCTCATACTAGCTCAGGAATTATTGGCTTTAATATGAAACTGTTACTTTATCTGAGAGTGCACGTTTACAATGGAGGTTAATAATAAAATCTTAATTTGATTCCCACATTATCGCAGTTCGAAAGTGGTAATTCAATTTAATTAACGTATTTGTTATTGTTAAAATTCCTTATCTTTTCAGCTAGGCGTTATGTTGACTCGGCAGACCCTGTACATCGGAGATAGCCGCAGACTTGATTCGGGCGTCAGTTCGTCGTCAGACTATACGTACTATTTCCTACATGCACACAGTAATGTGATCAACTTCGAAAGAAATTTGTGGCAGTACTTATACAAAAACTCCTTCAAAATCAATTTATAAGTCAAACCTAAAAAGAGTCACAGTCACTATGCCTTTAACTATGAAGTTTGTCGTGGGGATTTCACCATCCCCTCCCCTCCAAAAAACGAGGGACAGCAGAGAGCTTGACCGACAGGCAACCCTGCATGAAGACGAATTAAACCGGAAGTGTTTTTGCTCGTTGTAACATTCCGTGTGTTCTTACAAAATTAAGTTGGGAATGTTTATCTATATTTTGGGGTATTTTTAATAAAACAATTATTACACTCACGCTTGATGGATATGAAATGATAATAGCCAAGTCGGCCCTATGGGCCTCAGTCGTTGGCTATCTAACATCTCATATCCAACGGGCTTTCGTGGAAAAATTGTTTAGTAAATGGTTAAGTTTTCAGCCCTCAACTTTCGGTCTTGAAAAAAGTAATAGCTTTTAAATGCTTTGTATAGATTTGAATATGTGGTGCTATATTTAGGGAAATACGGAAGTGTTTTGATTATTTACCAAACATAAAAGACAATAGAAAAGTTCATATTGGATTTGAAAGTTATTGATGTTTCTCTTTAGTTGAGCGTCATTTGATAGGAAAGAAGTTTCCCCAGTCGCCGAGAGATCGGAATAAATAAACAAACAGAAAAGATAGGGAAATTTTGAACACTTTGATCTGAAGGTTTATAAAATTTTACCATTTCAATAGCCCGGCACAAATCAGTGAGAGCATAAATACAGTAGCAATAGAAGACTTTTTAAGTGTGTCAATGAGGTGAAATCTTACACGGATTTTATGGTAGAAGGTTCTTTTGTTCCGAATGGCAGTTTATTATGAGTAACTAAAACGGCAAATCTGCTGCGTTTATTTTACTAGCAAAGACACAATTTTTTTACGAATTCTGGAAGAGAAAAGAGTGAGTTTTTACAGTATTACTGAAAATCTAGCGCTGTTTCCTATACCTTCGTTGTTGATAATGACATAATTTTTTGATCATATCTCTTTGGTACCCCCCTAAAGCTGAGTCAGTTTTGCATGTACTGGCTGAGCTTCCATTACAAGAGGAGAGAACGGGCTGTTATGTACACTTTAACCACCATGACTTCGAGTCTTTTTTCTTTAGGAACTCAGTAACTAATGAACTGATAATACACCGTAAGGAAAAAGACACCGAATGCGGATCACTTAACGGATTTAAGACAGACATGGAGGAAATCCTGACACTTTGGAAACCGCAAATTAACTATAATGAAGCACAAATGTCCCAAACTGAACAAATAAAAAGCAAATTGCAAGTTGAAATGTGACAGTGATGCTGAACTTGCCACGACAGGTTTCTAGGGAGTATAAATTGAGAAAATAGGTCCTTTTAGACTACTTTTTTTTTCGGTATTACGAGCGAGGATTGAGAGAAAGGTTTGAACAGAAAAGGGTTTTTTTGCGAATTTCTTTTGACATGTCGTAAAACGTTTTCGCCTGAAGCTCTCGAGAGACTGTAGGAAGTTTTGAACAAGAACTCTTTAAGACAAAATTTACTCCAACTACCATTTTTTTTTAAGGCATATTTGTATGTGGTATGTGTCCATTTACTCATGTAACAAACGGATTTTCCTGTGATCTTTTTTTACTTACTAAACCAGGTCCATGAGAGTCTCATTTCCGAAATTTTCCCGAATTTACCGGGGCCCACATTGCAATCTGAGAGCGTAAGTGGTTATTCTTTGATGTTGTATCACAGGTCATGGTAGGGCATTCCGCCAAATCATCCATGGGTTAACGGCAGAAGCTATCAAAACCGCTAAACACTTATGACGTGAACCGTGTTTGCGAATTTCCTTTGTGGGCGGAAACAAGTTCTTCACACCACGCCATTCCATTGGTGCGGGTGTCCTCAAGGTTTACCACTGAGACTCGTTGAAAGATAGACGAAGGTGTGACCATATGGTCGACATTAAAATTGACACACATGTCGCAGAAAGACCTCGCGCTCTAAAGATTCGAAAAAGAAGGAAGACAATTTTCTGATGAAAACTTAAATTTAAGAGATTTGACTTACAGCTTACTGTGTTTTACCAGGAGGAAATACTTTGTTCGCTCTCAGATCTGGTACAAAAAATAAAGTAAAAGACATTCATCTTACCTCTGCATCTTTCATTCTTAGCGTATCTTCCTTATCAATAACAAAAACCGATGTATTTTTATCCATGTTTATATGATTGATGATTTAACCTCTCTGTGCCTATTAATGCAGACAGTCTGGCTTTTTGATAATAGACAGTTTCTTGTTACCGTATCGTCTTGAAAAACGCAAATTCTACAATTTGCTTTTGGGAGAATTATTTTTCACACTCTTTTAACGAAAAATGTTTTCGCAAATGTTTAACCTCTCAGCACCAAGTGTCGTTAATGTTCATGAATGTTCTAGTTTCCTTGAGATACGTTAATTTCGTTTGCGTTTCGGCCTTAGAGGTCACTTCCAGGCGAAATGTCAATCAAACTGGAGATAAAAAAAACCTATTTGGAGATTGTAACTCAATAGGCTTTTTCTGAGTCTCTTTGTCAGGCGCATGACTTCACAAGTTGTACAGTGAATAATTGAACGGGACAAACGAGTCGTTATAGACCGTGAGGGCTTTACAAAAGAGTTATGAGGACAAAGTTATTACTTTTGTGGGGATTTCTTGTGATTTCATGGTTCAGAGGCGTTTATGGAGGTGAGTATTTTGAAAGAGC